GATCGACGGGATCATCATTCGCTAATTGTAATTGGCGCAGTACTAATGCGTCATAACTAGACTATCACTAACAACGTTTTGCAATAGTTTAAACATTATGCAATAGTTTAAACATTTTGCAATAGTTTAAATATTTTGCAAAAGTTTAAACGTTTTGCAATAGTTTAAACGTTTCGCAAAGGTTTTAATATTTCGCAAAGATTTTAACATTTTGCAATAGTTTTGAGTTTTGCAATAGTTTAAATTGCATTAATTAAAATTTTACCGTCTCGCATTTTCTAAAATAATTTAGCCAAGCAACCTTAGTGACGAGACAACCGGTTGGTTTGGTTGGAGTTGGTCTATTTTTCGAGGAAGGCTAAGCAGCTTTTACTTTATTTTTTCTACTTTTGTACCTGTCTTAGGATTTTCTTTTTATTTTATAATTTGAATATGAATTTTTAATAAATAAAAGCTTCACCGCGTCTTTAAAAAAAAAAATAAATAAATTAATTATTAATTTTAAAATATTATTATATTATATCATCCACAATTTTCTTTTCTTTCTAACGAATATTTAAACATAGCAATTGAATAAAATTTGAGTTAGTTTTATTAAAGATAAAAGTGTCTTGAATTTTACAAAATGCATGCAAAAAAATACTTATATTTTAACACTACATCCCTACCACCCCTACGGATTCTGCTTTATTATATAGTTTTTTCTTTTGTTTTGCACACATATTCTTTTATTTTGATTTCAAAAATGTCATAAATATGTGATCATATATAAACATTACGTAAGTTTGTGATTGTAATCGTGATCACATTCGCATTTGTGATTATGATTGTGATTGTGGTTGCATAATATATAAATATACAAATATTGTTATTATTTTTTTATTCTTATTGTTATTATAATTATATTTTTTTATTATTATTAATATTTTTATTTTTATTTTTTTAATAAGTGTTGTCTTTTTTTTGCATATGTTAAAACAACACTTTCTTTGTTGAATTTCTTTTTATCTGTAATTGAGACATGATTCTAATGCAAATAAAGATGCATTATGCCATGTTAAGTATGGATTTATACTGATGTAACCCAAAATATCAGTAAATTTTACTATATATTAATTATAAAGGGACAAAGAAAATATCAGTATATGTTATATTGTGAAATCATATGTAATATCAATATATAAAGGTTTTTTAATTAATAATAAAATGGTACATAAAAAATTTATCAGTACATGCAATTATCGATATATATAATATTGTTACATATATATAGGTTTGACTGTATGACATAATTATTTGCAGTCAGCCAGGATGAAAGCATGCGTTGGATGCTTTCTATATGCAAAAAAAGTTCCATAATTTTGAGAAAGTAATCTGTAATCACATATAAAATTTGTAAAATATGTAAATAAACTTTATGAAAAATAGAAGCAATCGAGGTCTTAATTCACGAGATTTATTCTTAATGTAACTCATCCTTTACTAACAGTACTTGGAATTTCTAATAACTTTGTTATCCTTAGGACCTAATGCAATTGGTTTCATTATTAATTCAGATATATGTATTAAGCTTGTTACTGGCAGGTAACTAAAGGTAAAGCAAAGTAAGGATGATAGTTATGTTATGATTGAAATTAATAAAAATAATGATACGATAATGTTATATATTATGAAAGTTAATATAAAAAATAAAAAATAAAAAATAACGTAAATATTCATATTAAATTTAATATTAAAATTGGACCAATCAAAATCAACTATTTTAATATTAATTAGAAAATGATCAAGCATAAAATTGACCAATCATACAAATGTCTGTCATGCTGTCCTAATGTCAATGCCGTCAGAATTGACATGTATTGATCGTTATAACCGGTGATTCAATTTTGACTCAGCCAAAACCCGAGGGTGAAATATCAAAGATACTTGTTCGATTAATTTCATTTCATTAAAACTATTTATGCTGCTTCCATCCAACAAAGTATTTGCAATATCCCAAATATGAGTAACATATAATAAATATACACTCCATCCTAATCTAAATTTAAAATTTATAAAAAAATTAATAAATTCAAACGATATAATAATTTCATATAGTATGTTAAATACTTACAATTTTTGAACCGTATGTTAAAATAAATAATAAAAAACGTTTGAATGAATAAGCTAAAATCATACATATACTTATTAAAGAACAGAGCAATAAAAATAACATTATTTAATAAATTGTATAATAACAAATTATGAAATTGGTAAAATTTGTAATATTTTAATCATTTTTAAATATTTTTACAAATTAATTTAATTAAAAATGATTTTATAATAACTAATAATAACTAATACTTACTTTTAGTTCATTTGGGATAATAATTTTAGTAACATTCCAAATACAATCTTTCTTAGAAATCTAATTAAGTGTTATACAATCTCGATTTAACTTACTTTTCATCCCATTTTTACTTAGAAAAATCAACAAAATAATAAATAAAATATTAACAAAATATATATATATATAAAAATATAAAAATGGTTTAGTAATTTTTTTTTTAAAAAACGCAATTAATGAAGATGAAAATGAAGATATAAAAAGTTAAATTTAACTTTTGAGTAGTCTGGTAAAAGATGTTAGTATTAATAGATTATACAAAACGCCCAAAAATGGTGTAATGTTTTCTGGATAATCTATTTTTAAACTACATAGTAAAAGTAGCGTTTGAAATTCAAACAAAAATTTTGTGCGGATATATATATGTATTTATATTTTTAAAAACACCAATGTGCGGCATTATATAAAAATAAAAATATTTTCAAAAATAAATATTACAAATAAACGCAGTGCTCGATGTGGGATTTTAAATATAATATTTTATTCAAAAATAAAATTTTCCCATATTTGAACGAAGCTGTTAATAAAACGTAATCTTAGATTTGAACATGAAACTTTCGTAATGTTTATAAAACTTTCTTAATTGGGTTATTGAATAAAAATATTTTTAGTTGTTAATCACTTTAAAGTTAACGGTCATTAAAAAATAGGCCTTTGTACCTGCTTAAATGACAAACGACGAGTACGTAAATTTTATATAAATAATGAAATTTTGTAACATTAGAAAAACAAATATTTTTCAAAAAAAAGTTTCTCAAAAAAAAAAATTTACGAAAATCATAGTCCTTCGTCAAATATTATATACTGTATATTTTAGATTAGAAAAAAAGAAAAAAAAATATGTCATTAATCAACACAATAATATCTTCAATAGGGATATATGATTTAAGGTTAATTTTTTTAACATTATGCATAGTTTACACAAGTTACTTTTATTTCAGTTATTATACACGAGAGAATCCATTGCCCGGTCCTGTCCCGTTACCTTTCATTGGTAATATTTTGGATAGAGGTTTCGATGATTTATCAGGTTATACCGAACATATGGTATGCGAAAACAGTACGGCGATATGTTCGAAATTTATTTTAGACCAAAAAGGTTCATCATGTTGAGTAAATTCGAATATATGCAAAACATGTTTGAATATTCATTAAATTCAAAATACCAGAGACGTATTCCATACTTTGCTGGTTTGGAAGAATTAGGCATTAAACCATGATGTAAATGTTTGGAAATATAATCGACACTTCATTTCTAAAGCATTACAAACTTCTAGTTTCTCGAAATCATCTGTCATTTGGACCCAAAATCTAGTTGAGGAAATGATGGGTTTGTGGGAAGATGGATCTGATAAAAATGGATGTTTTGATACAGAACTTGTAGAATGGAATAGTGTCATAGATTTACGACAGACTCTATAACTTATCTTACAACCAGGAAGAGAATTCATGCAACTGAAGCATATTTCAATGAATTGTTGGCAGGACAAAACAGGAAACCCAAAAAAACTTTCAAGAATGATTTGCATGATGCATCGAAATTCTTTAATAGCATTAAAACTTTAATTGTTGGAATCTATTTCTTCATAATCGTTCTGCCTTGGATTCAAAAATATTTGCCAATCTTGGGAAATACATCAAAAAGTCATTTAGAGAATCGTGACTGGTTATTTAGCTTCGTTGATGAGATTATTAAACAGAGAAGGAAAGAAATTGAATATACCCCTCAAAATGAGCCACTACGATTTGACATGTTAACCTCTATGATAACCGCTAATACAGATCGTGATATTTGTGAAATTAAAATGGTTGATGAAGAACATACACAACTTATGAACGACCGTGGTGTTTTATGGGAAACATTTGTCGCTTGAATTGAAAAGATACGTTTTATAATAAAATAAAAATTAATTCGTGTATGAATCAATCGTTTTAAATAAATAAATAAATTTATTAATTATCTTTTATTTATTTATTAGACTGCCAACATGTTTACTTTTATCGTTTATTACTTGGCATATCATCCCGATATATTAAAGAGACTTCAAGTTGAGCTTGACGCATTCTTCAAAAAAATGGGTGATCGACGTCTAAATCTCGAAAGTTTGTTGGATTTAGTTTTCACTGATGCGATCATAAAGAATCATCTAGAATGTTCACACCTTTACTATACACCGCACGAAATAGCACCGCTGAGGATAGTGTGGCAGACCTTGTGTGATCCGAGGGAACACAATACATCATAAATATTCATAGTGTAAATCACAACGAAAAATATTGGGATGAGCCTGAAAAATTTAATCCCGACAGATATCTTAATATGAAAAATCTCCACCATAATAAATTTAAGCCAGGAAATAATTATACAAAAACTATATCGATTGGTACAGTTCATTTTCCTAATTCAGATGTAGGAAAAATGTGCTAAAAATTTGAACGTACTAGGGTTATTTCATGTTTTAGCACATTACACAGTACAGTCCGAAAATTGTAGTGTTTTTATTGGCACAAAAGATACACAAAAACTGTATGGGTTTTTTCATAGGGTAAAAAATGAAAGTTTTTAAGCTTTTGTAAATCGATGACATATATAATATATAATATTTAAGATTACGAATTATATTTGGCATCTTTAACATCCGTGGCTCTTCATATTTAACTCCTTGAAAGATACTTCTTTTTTTTTTTTTAAAAAAAAAAATCTAAATCATAAGATCTCATTACAAAATTTTAATTAATCAGAACGAAGATATTCAATATCGAAAATTCTAAAGTTCCTATTCTTTATTAAATAATATTATTGAATATTTAAATGGGCGGTTTGCTATTATTATCACGATATTGATCATGACATGCTATTTACACTCGATTTTAATAGCAAACGATACCATTCAAGGAACGAAAGATACATAACAAACATAACTAACAGCTAACCATATTACATTTCTAGACATGAAGTGGTTAGACCAAAGTTTGATAACCACCAAAGGCAGATCCAATGTAATGACCCAAAGAGGAGGACTTAGTTCTTCGATAAATCGTTGTATTGATGATATTCGTCAAAGGAGAAATACGGATGGATATGAAAAATTTGAAATTCCATATGTAACGATTTCACAAGCAAGATATAAAGCAGATTTTTGGATTTAAAAATCCTCCCGAATCACAAAATTTAATAAAAATTAATAACGAATGATTATTTATATACCTTTCATAAATTATTATTTATCTTCATGATCTTCACGAAAGGGTTTCATTTAACTACGATTTATAAATCATATTATAAAAAAGACTACGACTATTCGAGTTATTATTAAATACTTAATTTATTTTTAATTTATATTATTATTATATTCTTTTGATGAATTAATTTTTTATAATTCTATCTCTTTTCTCCTTGGGAAAATTCTCGCGATCATGTGTGAGTCAACAAAGATAATTCATAATTCCTAGTAAAAACAGAGAATTTGGAAACACTATTAGAAATTTTCAAAATTGCATAAATTTAATACTTGCAGTAAATGTGTTTTTAAATCTAGATATTTGATTCCACAACAAACAAAGTAAGTAACAACAACGATTTTCCACCTATTTTATTGGAAATTACGTTTATATCCGCAACCAAATCTGTAAATTATATTTCCAAATCGTCAGGTTTACAAGTAGTTGTTGAACTTATGAGATAAGAGACCTGTCATTAACTATACAAAAATTAATGAGTGCTGGGATTATGTTCAATGGCTTCTTTGATATGGATTGCTTATTTTCTGAGTCACATTTTTTTATGACACGAAACTTGAACCTAAAGAGATTCTCTTCGAAAAATACTTTTGAAAACGTTTCTTTTTCAGATATTGAACTTTGGTCCAAGGAATAAAGCGCAATTTAGCGTCTGAATCAACATACTTAGTATGTGCTACATGTTGAAGGTTGAAAAGCTATAAATTTGTAATTGTAGACGGCTTCTGAATTATCTAATCAACATCAGCAAGAAGATAATTTTTTAGGAAGATATCAATTAGAAAAGGATCTATTGTATGGACATTAAATTTCAAGGATCTAAGAAGAAGTTAGAATCGAGGCAACTCTTAATAAAGTATTTTTTAAGATACTAAAAAGTTTATTCATAATATGTCTAAAATTAAAACAAGTATGAATGACATATAAAAATTTAACCGAAGAATTTATTAAAATGAAAAGTATAATTAAATTAGATATTAAAAATGAAAAAACATTTGTCAAAGAATTTATTAAATGGATAACCAAATTAAGGATCGTGATAATTGGAAAAATAGAATTGAAGTATTAATGAATGATAGCGCGATGTACATATAAAAATTAGCGAAATAAAAAATTATTTGAAAAAACGCTAATGTAAAAACGATATATATATATATGTTTCTTCAGTTACGAAATTAAATGCATATTTGGATGATTAAAACTACCATTAAAAGAAACTTGCCGCCTTTTTATATAATGGTATATTAATTATCGCACGAATTATAAAAAGTATTATACAAATATTTCGTAAAGTATTTGTAAATTTGCATACAGCTATTGCATATATTCCTACACACGTAAATTTTTTAAAGTTTCAATTGTATCATTAGTCACAATTGGTTCAATCGAGGTCAATAAATATGACTCTAAAGTTCATCTGGTGAATTTATTTTTAGTTTTGTGTATAATTTTTTGCAATTTCACATTATACATGATTTACTGTGCCACAATTTATCGATGTATTAAGGAAAAGAATTCGTCTGAAGTGGATCCATTGAAGAGAACATAGTATTTTAAGTTTTTTCTTATCAGTTTTGGATAGCGTGGGCTAGAAATTAATCCGGGATAAATTTTATTTTGTGGTAAAAAAATTTTTATTATAAAGTATTACCATTACTGTTACGTATTAAACGAGTTTTTTTGGTAGGAAATCAATATACATGACATGTATATATATATACCATTTTAAAATTATCAATATCAATGTTTCTTGAATGAATAAAAAAATTATAAACAGGTTTTAAGTTGCAGCCGATAGATTTTTTTTTAATATTGAATTATAAAAACAATTTCTCAAATTAAAATTCAATTAGCAATATTGGCAAGTCTGGATAAATAGTTAAGAAACATTCCACCCATATAAGTTAAGTACCAATTTGATTAATTACGAAAAAGAACCTAAAAATAAATTGAATAAAAAAGTAGAATAAGTTAAAAAACGAAAATTAGAAATAAAAAATTAAGCCTTACCAATGAAAAAAAAAATGTTAAATTAATAATAAAAAATAAAAATAAAGGTAAAAAACTAAAAATAATAAATAAATCAACGCATTTATGCTGCATCCAACTGATTTCATAAAATAAATAAATAAATAGGTTAAAAGCAATAAAAAAGGCGTGTTCATGAAAGATAAATTATAAAAATAAAAATTAGAAAAAGTAATAACAATAAAAATCAAATAAGCTATAATTTGTATAATTTATCATAATGAATACCTTTTAATTTCTTTATCATATCAAATTGGGGACGAAGCCACTGCAAATACTAGTTCTATTTTTATCTTTTGAAATGTTTATCTAAAATTTACTAAAGTCATCAATTGAATTGAAAGCCACACGAACAATGAAATCGAAAAGTTTATTAAACGATTGCGACAATTAATCAACACAACAACAGACAATTTACTTTTATTTTATTTTTTTTTTGAAAATCTATAATTGATACTCGACTGTAGAGTCGACCTCGGAACGTTTAATGTCTGATCGTGTTGAGTGGCTCGCTTTTCAAAAGTTGAACCTCGCGAAATTCTCAATTAAAAAAAAGTTTCGAATTTTTAGCAGAATGCGATTTTGAAAACTTTATTTGTGGCTAAAACTTATATTTTATATTTATTTAAAACATTAATTAAATCTAAAGAATTTTTGCTAAAATGTTAAATGTACATATTTTCTTATACTTTTATTAAAATTTATTGTTATTATTTTCCCAATAAATTTATTAATTTATTTACTTTAATTAATACGAGAACGAATCGAATCTTTTATGCATTTTTTTTTTACTTAAACTATTTGTCATTGGTTATACGAAAACTATACTATAATTTGTTCATTATTCTCTTTTTTATCGTTAAATACGCCTGATACAATGCTTCAGATAGAAATATTATCAAAATAAAAAGAATAAAAAGAAGATACAGTATTTATAATTCTACAAACTTACAAATTTTACATCCGAAAATAATATTTTGTCATTTTTGTACTTTACTTTCAATTTATCAATTTCATCATACAGCATCATTTCATTAAATATTTCAGTTATTATTTTCGAAAAACTTAATTTCAATAAAAAATGAAATATAAAATTTTTATTCCATTGACGCATTTAGTTAAATTTTTAAAGAGATCATGAAAAGATTTTCTAATCAAAAAATATGAATCTATATTTTCACGAATTTTGAGTAAATAATAAGATGGAATATGGATGCACTATCCTTATTTATTTAAAACAATGAGGATTACTAATACTTTGTATCATATAATATTTTCTTTACAATTATTTGAACTCTCATTTTTAAACTTTTAACAGAATAATTTGTATATTAATTAGAATACTTAATCCATGTTGCTAGATAAAGTATTTTTTTAAAAAGGATAATAAATTATGTCGCTTTTTCTCTTTTTTTTTTTTTTTTTTTTTTTTAAAAAAAAAAAAAAAATTAGCGTTATAATGATAAACATCTAACCTTTTTAATGATTAATTTCTCGAGTAAATTTCTTTTAAAAATGAACAACTAACTCAAGAAGGAAATACATATTACTATTTAGAAAAAATGTTTTTTTTAACAGTTACACCGATCATTCATATGACCAGTGG